TTTGAATAAATAATCCCAGTGTCCGATTATAATAAAGATAGAGAGAAAAAGTAAAAACTGCACCAACAATCAAATTTATATTTATAGTCATGTGCTAATCCATCTACAAAAATAACTTTGGAATAGAGCCAATGCATTTAAGAATGCAAGGGGTACAACAAAGTGGAATGATATATTATATAGCTTATAAATGAACCTTTAACATTCTGATACTTAAAGCAAAAAAGACATAGGCAAGAGTGTTTGAAAATCTGATCAAATCACTTGAAAGTGACTTTTTTTTAAAAAAAGATAAAAAAGCATAGAGTAACTGCTCATTTTTTTAAGTGCAATATAAAGCTATTTTCAATTTCAAAGATGTATCATCTATCAGGGTGCAGTATCTGTGTGTCTTTGTATGTTTTTAGTGTGTCTGCATTGTGGATGCACACACACCCCATTAATCAATGTTGTCCAATAGTATATCCTATTTTCTCCTGCTCAACTGAACCATTTCAGTCCAATAATAATCCTCCCACCATCCACAGTTCATATTTGGAAAATACATTCAATTGTTTTTTAGATAAACACACAACTATTTGGTATATATAGTCAATTTACTTTCCCATTTTATCCAAATGGCAAAAATTGGGCGATTCAAATTCTAAATTACTCTGTAATAAACCTAACAAAGAGAAATCATAGCATGCTAAAAACTGATTGAAAATGGTACTTCAAAATATACTGTAATTTCCAAAATTACTATTAAAAAGCACTCTACTTAATAAAATCTGGGAAGACAATCTTCAATTAAGTGAGCCAAGTGATTCTTCCACAGACCAGATAGTTCTTCTGTAGTTTTGCAGCTAAGACAGTCAGCAGATGTCTGCATAGTCCAAGGGGAATTTCTGTTCCTCTGGAGAAAATAGCTCTAATAGTAAACAAATAGCCATATGCTGACTGTGCACTGCTCAGCAGATGACGCACAGAGACACATTCTACGATGGAAAGCATTAAGGGTCAAGGTTCAAATGAAATTTCTTCGAAATGCAATGCAATTACCCAAGAAAAGATTACTTATTAAATATAAGTTGTGTCAAAGAACAGTGCTATCAATTTGTACCAGCATAAAATGGACTCTAAATTGAATAATCGGTACCTTTGGTATACGAGCTTATAAACCTATTTTCCCTAATACTGAAAACATCTCAAATAGAGCTATTACAAAACAAAACAAAACTTTTTCTGGCAAGACTGATTAAAAACCTGGAATCTGAATGATAGAAATTGGGTTTTCATGAATCTTAAGAACGTGGTATCTTCTAATTTCTTCTAACATAATTGTGTGCATTAAAATATTAGTGGTTAGCAAAGAGAGATAATAATAATAAAAATATTTTTTAAAATGTTTCTACAAGTTAAAGTTATATTCCTTTATAGAGATAAACTTCCAAAAATTTTAGGTAAAAACTTAAGGTATAATGATTACTAGTCACGATTTCTCATGACTTTAATTTTTAGTTTTTATAATTCTGTGCAATATGTTTAATTGCATCAAAACTGAGTTTTCAACTCAGATTTCACCACTTGGAAAAATCCAGTGCTTTACATGGCTCAAACACGGCTACAATTTGACTTAAAGTGAAAATAAAAACCATCCTCAAGAAAACCAGTAAATATTATCATGTTGGAGCTTATTAAAATTTAAATTTAAAAAAATGCAATAAATGATAATATTATCATAACTATACAGTAACAAAGATTGTAAAGTACATTCCATGACATTTTTTTTCCTCAGTACTGGAGAGACTGACAATAGCTTGGACCAAGAAATCCAGTTGTTGTTACAGCTGTAAAACTTGGTTTAAAGGCAAATAAAGCACAGATAAATGTTTTTAAAAGCATTACCAACAACTGTGCTGTGAGACTGTGTGGCCTCAAGACACTTTTGTTAATGCTATTACTTTGGGCTATCGCTTCAATAAAATGTTAGATTAAATCTTTGCTTTCCCGTTGTTGAAACTTTGGAAAGCGAAAGAATAGTTACTATTAAAATTCTAGTATAAGTTAATGAAAGATGTGAGGGAGGAATGCAGTGATATTTTGTAGGACAAAATTTATTTTAAAAAAAGAAATCCTGTAAGTGCAGTTGATAGATTTAATTTAGAGAAACAAAACCCATATGTCCCTCACATCCCTCTTCCCTCCCCCCGCCCCAAGTTTCTCATATAATATAGAATAAACCAACTTTGATCAGGAAGAAAGCAGATCTAAAAATGATGGAAGAACATTAGACTGCCTAAAATAAACTGAAATGACTGCACACCTATTTCTATTTCACTAAAGCCTTAATTCATATTACTTTCTCCGAACATTTTAAGTACAAAAACATAGTTTAACTTCAGATGACTTTGTTTTCCTATACAACTTCAGTACTGAAATAATACAATTCATAAAAAGATACTTTTAATCACTGCAATTAAGTAAGTATAAAAATAATTCAAAGCAAACACAACTCAATTTTTCTTCCACATTTCAAGCAATCATTAGTAATATTAATAAAGATCTTTATTAATAGAAAGCTATATTTGGTAAATGTACAATATCTATAAATTTGCTTATATCAAATATATGAATTATTATAACTGAATTTGATCATAAAGACCTTTAGTAAATAGTGTTAAATAAACAAAAATTATGTTGTTAATCATGGTACTCTGGGTCATAGAGTATTTTAGAGACCTAATGATGACTACCATGCTAAAGTTTGTGAACTAAGCCTTACTGGACAATGCATTTGAATATTCTGTGGTTAAAGACTATATATTGACCTTATGTCTAGTTTCAATTCCTTGATCGTTTATTTGTTGACTAAGGCTGGAAGAGTCCTTCCTATAATGGACTCTCAAGGTAATGGAGTATCTAACTAGAAAAAGAACTTAACTGGAAACTAATAGTGTGTTTTAAATGTCTACACAAAAGCCAGATTAGAAAAGACAGCTTTCTAAATCCCAGTGCATTAAGGGTATCTTGATCATCTGAGGTAAAACTAGAGGTGTTTTGAAAGGGCAGATCTACACAGTAAGCGTTTAAAGCTCTATTCAGACTATAATCTTTTCTTATTTTTTAATCTGATAATGATAAGAATGCAAGAATGGTAGCAAAGAACAGAAACATAAGGTGATCTCTGATATTTCTGTTTGTACACACTTCATTTAAAAGGAATTATTGTCCCAAAGAATAAACAACCACTCTGGCTTTACTTCCTGATCTTCAGTTACCTGCATACCCAAAACAGGAGTTGGTCAAATCATCTACACAATCTTCCCTGAGTTTCTATTATTTTAATAGATAATGATTACTCTTAAATATATTGTGTCAAAGTGTGAAAAGCACTAAAATTACAATTTTGAAAGAGGACTATTGAAACAACTTTTGTATACAGAAGTTGAGCATTTGCACTTCCTTGGTTTACACTGAATTAGTAGTTGAGCTTAAGAAAAAAAACACAACAGTCTTTGATTGTGGCTGTAGTTTTCATACACCTCATGATATACTTCTATCCTTTTGCCAAAACTGAAGCCAATCCAAGAAAGTAGAGTAAGCATGTTATCAGCTAACAGTGACTACGGGAATAGGAACTTGGGATTCAAGTTCAATATTTTTATAAATAAGAATAGCCATTTCTGACAGTCTGAATGAGTAGTTTTCTTTTTATTCTAAGTTAAATTTTATGCTCATAATCTTTCGCACTCTGTGCCCCTTCAAGTAATTAATGAATATATGCATATGATCAATTTGCCCAATTCCCTGGGGCTGATTTCACATTAATATATGATTGGGCTTCGATATTTACCTCTGAATGCCTTTCTATATCTGTATTTTTGTAGAGGTCTATGGTTATATACACATATATATAAATTCTAGATGATTGCTTAAAACAATGGTAGATTATGAAAACAATTACATAACTAATTTTAACATTAATTATACCTAAATATATACCATTTTTGAACATATTATAAGGAACTGTGAAATATATGTAGTCACATATATGCTTTCATATGTAATTTTGTGTAATTACTTTAATGTGTACTAGATTTACATTTTGTTTCTCTATTTCTTATGCAATTCTCAATTTCTATCACATGAACACATACATAGCAATGATAAAACATTCTGGCTATCTCTTAAGAATGTTTCCTGAAAACAAGAAAAACAGTTCTCATTCAAAAACAATATAAATCTAATATTCTAGATACAATGACTGAATTATTAGCCAAAAAAGTTTTCTTGAGATAATTTCAAATGAATTACAATATGTTTGGCTAAATTCTGTTCCCAAGAGTATTGCTATTAGACAGTTAAACTCCTGTGGTTAGCAGGAAGATTTTATTTGATTGATTTTTTTGTTTTTGTTGTTTAGTGAAGCAAATTATTTTCTTTAGAGAGCATGTAGGGGAGAAAAAGAGAGACAGAGAGGGAGAATAAAAGACAGTGAGGGAAAGAAAAAAAAATCTCATAAATGAGAGACATTACACACCCCCAGCTGGGATGCAGAATGGAGCCTAATTTCCCTGACAGGAAAAATTTTAAGCAGATTTTAAACAGAAGCAGTTTGAAAACTGTACCCCCAGTTGAGAATATTTCTCTTAATGAAGACAAATGAAACATATGCCATACTATTCTTTTACTGAAACATACTTCCATTCAATAGATTTAAAAGCAACACAGGAGGAAAATAAATCAATTTCAACGAAAATGTTCAAAAGAGAAAACCTGGGAATCCAAAGTAAAATAGTGCAACATTGTGCAAACCCCAAATTCATCCGAATAACCAGCTGAGATGAAAGAAATCCCTAAAAAATGGCAGGTTGAAGTCATAAACAAAGCTATAGATTTGTCTTGGGTAAAGCCTGTAAAAAGGGTTGAATTTTGTTATTACCATCAAGGCAAAAGTTTTTCACTCTGCACCCCCCCAACCCCAGTCCCTGCCAACCAGACACCCCCGTTATACTTACTAGCTACCTCCAGCGATGCATTGTGGCTCACCGCCTCTCCGAGATAATTTCTTGCTACACAAACGTAGACCCCTTCATCAGGTCTACTTTTTCGTCCATGGACTATACGTAAGAAAAATAAAGATCCACTTGGCAGCAACATTCTGTGTGAGCGCGGGTCATCTTTGTCAGTCTCCACTCTCTCCCCCCCTTTGTACCATTCAATAGTGGGTGTGGGGCGGCCTTCGGCTTTACAGTTCAAAGTTGCAGGTTCTCCTTTGGAAACAATTAAGTCTGAAGGGTGTTCAACAATGCGAGGTGGAAAATCTTCCTGCCGAAGACGGGAGCCTGCAGATGGGGTCAGAAAGACAAGCTTCAGGTTACCAGTTGATGGCATTTGAAAGTCTTATATCAAAAGTCTAGGCTTAAGGCTCAACCACTTAAATACTGCATAATGCTGACCTGCCTTACCTACCCTGTATACTGACTAATCCCTCTGCTGTCCATCTTGACTGCACCTTCTAACACCTAGATCCTGCTGACCATTCACTTAGTGTGCTTGCCTGGACATTGCCCTGAAAAATTCCATCTGCTCTTCAAACACCTGTCCAAGAGTCCTCGAAGAACCCATCACACTATTCATGTCATGCATGTGGCTGTTTTCTCAGAAGAATGTGTTAGAAAATTCTTGGGAAACAAACAATGGCATAGTGTCTTGGAATCAATTTTTTTTTAATGGGTATCAATCATCAGTTTAACAAAGCAGATGCTACATACTAAGGAACATCTATTTTAAAACTAAAATAAAAATGTTCTTTATACAACTTTTCTCATCTCCATGCATATATATGTATATAATATAGATGCATATATAGCATTCCCATTTTATTAGTAAATTAATTTTACTTGCTTGAGCGGGCCCAGTAACGTCTCCACTGGAGACTTTGTTGTTACTGTGTCTGGCATATCGAATATTCTCGGTAGCTTGCCGGGCTCTCCGAGAGGGGCGGAGGAATCGAACTCGGGTCGGCCATGTTGGCCGCTTGTAAGGCGAACGCCCTACCCGCTGTGCTATCACTACTAGTGCCAAATAATTTGGGGAACATTTTAACAGACTTCAGTATGTTAAATAACTGAGTTTAAATAATAATATACTATCAAATGGAAAAGGATAATACTGAAGGAGTTACATTTCATGCCATGTGTTTCACTTAAGATAATTCTCAAGTGTAGGTTTTATTCTAATATAATCTGCACTTACACTTTTTAAAATTAGACTTTGTTTTTGTGTGTGTGTGTGTGTACATTTTTTTTTAAATTTTTATTAGTGAAACACCATGAGGTACAGTTGTAGACATTACACGTTTTTGTGCTTGGGTTTCAGTTATACAATGATCGAGTTGCCATCCCTCCACCAGTGCCGATTCTCCACCACCAATGATCCCAGTATCCCTCCCACCCCCCCTTCACACCCTCCCCCAATCCCATCCCGCCTCTATGGCAGAGCATTCCCTTTTGTTCTCTCTCTCCTTTTGGTTGCTGAGGTTTGCAAAAGAGGCATTGGGTGGCAATCATGTTCGGTCTATAGTCTATTTTCAGCATTCATCTCCCATCCTGGGAGGTTCCTCACAACACCCTTTACTTGGTGTTTCCTTCTCTCTCTGAGCTGCCCTTTTCCTAAGCATGTGTGACTGGCCTTCAAGCCATGGAGTGAACCTCCTGGTACTTATCTCGACTATTCTTGGATGTTAGTCTCCTATTTTTTTACATTATATTCTCCAGATGAATGCAATCTTTCTACGTCTGCCCCTCTCTTTCTGACTCATTTCACTTAGCATGATATTTCCCATGTAGTACCACTTGCATGTAAATTTCATGACTTCATCTTTTCTAACAGCTGCATACTTTAATCTTTAATAAAGGACTCAAGATTCTTATTTGTAATAATTCAACTTACTTGGCTGCTGCTGCTAGATTTGATGTGCAAATTTCTTAAATATTTCACAAATTCAATACAGCAAAGTTCAATGGTGATCTAAAAACTTGTTCTCATCAAATGTTTCAATCTGAAGAAACCAGTGAAAACCAGTCTTCCCCTCCAAACTTTCTCAAATTAATCGAATTATCTTCATTTCTATAACCAGGTATCCTCTGAGATCAAACTGCTATCAGTTCCCACCAGGATTTATGAATGCTCTTAAAGGCTTCACTGCAATGTAACCAGAAAAAGGCTTTGAAATGCAAATACAATCTGGGCTGAGCCTACTTCAGTGCTCTTAAAATAAATGCATTGCTCTTAAGATAAAGTCTTTAACAAGACATTCAAGAGCCAGTGACTTGTTCAACTTTCAAATCTAGCTCTCTAGATTCTTCTGTTCTACTCATTGCTCTACTATTTCCACCCAAGTCTTCAGTTACTTCCACAAATGTACTGGGCTTCTTCCTGTCACAGGCTTATGTCTGTCTGTCACATGATGTAGATTTGAGAAATCTTGCCTAGTGTATGCCAAAGATTCTTCCAAATCTCTGCTCACTCTGGTGTTTCACAACAAAATGAAATTGTTTACATTTAAACAGTACCAGATAGCTATCCTTGGTTAGACTGTACAAATTTCACATTTAAACCAAATGGTTTGATAATCTGAATACTGTCCCTTCTACTCTTTTCTGTTACTCTGTGACATCTATAGGAATGATTTTGCTCACAATTTCTCCTTCTACTCCTGGAAGAATATTAAGCACAGACTATACATGCTTGATGAAAGCTGCCGAATAAATGAAAAAAATAATGATTAAAGTGCTCAAAGAAAAAATATTTAAATGAAACTATCTAAAACTTAATAACTATATATACTTTATACAGAATTGAAGACTCTTTTTATATTTGTAACTATATATACTATTTAACCTTTATTAAACTATATGTTTTCAAAGGGACTTATTATATCTCTAATTTGTGTCTAACGAAATTGATTTTTAAGTGAATACATTATGGGGAAACTAAAAATCTCTTATTTGCTTATATAAACTATAAAATAAAGACACATTTAATCTGAAATGTTAAGAAATCACTTTGGTTTAGTACACAGTATACAAATACTATAAGATCTTAATATGAAACTCGGGTCTAAAAGATGACAGTAATCCAACATGAGAAAAAATAATTGGAAATTCCTTTGTACATGATTACTCTCTCACAAAGTCCATACTGAAATCAAATGAAATTCAAATTGCATTTTTAGATTTCTCAATGAGAAGTGTTATTAAATGTCAGAACTAATGCACTATAATCAGTTATTAGTGTCCTTCTGACACTAATTATATAGGGTACATATAGACCAACTACTTAGGTATATATTTAGGTTTAGTTTTATTTTATTTTATTTGGTTTTGGGGGCAACACTAGATAACATTTAGGGGTTATTTATAATTTTATTCCATTTCCAGAAGTGCTCAAGGACACTTAGGTGCAGGGGGGCTGAATGTAGGCCTCCTACATGCAAAGCATGTCCTCATTGACCTATCTCAAAGGCAACGTAATATGAATTTAAACAAGGCAAATCTCTACTTAAATTCTGAAAGTCCATTTCAGATTGAAAATAAGGGTACAGAGGATGGATGAAGTATTCAAATAATAAGCACTTCAGACTGTCTGAGCAAGACAGAGAAGGAATCTTAAGATAAGAAGCTTGAGATGAGATTGGAAAATGAATCAGCAAGAAAAGAAAGGAAAGGGTTCAGAGTTACTATACCATATGGAACAACTGTGGGACCAGCAGGAAATTAGTATTGCCTGAATATAATGTGTATCTCAGACTGGAAAGCAGGTGCCTGAGAAGTAGTCAAAGTGTGGATGTGATAAAGTTTACGCATCCAGTGTCAATTCTGAAACCCAACTGAAGGCAAGACAAACATATTTTAAGCAAGAGATCAGCATGATCTTGTTTGGTTTTAAAAGCTCACTCCTGGACATATGAAACTTAACTATTAAAAGCTAAGCCTAGGAGGGATTTGTTTGGACACTTTTGCACTCCTCCAGCAATAAATTCTAAAAAATTTAAACTTGGACATTGAGAGACAGATGGGAAAACAGAGGGAAGGACCTGAAAGATTTAGTTACAAAATCAACAAGAACTACTCCACCACACAGAATTTTTTTTTAATTGCAGATTGAAGGAGAAGCAGAGGGAATATGGGTTCCAAGTTTCTAATCTGAGATCTAATCAAAGATATGCTCTGATCTAAGCAACTGGTAAATGGAAATCTCAAGGAAGGAAGTTAGAGGGGGGAAAATATATAAATATATACTTAATGAAAGGACAGAGGAGATATTTTCTTCCATTTGACATATAAAGAGTTTGGGGCATTCTAGAATACCCAAACGAAGAGGACGAGGTCCCCACTGCATATTCAAGTTTGACCTTAGGAAAAAATTCTCTGTTGAAACCATAGATGAGAATTGAGCTGAGACAAACCACGGGAAAGAATAAAACTGTCTAGGGAGAGTGTAGAGAGGAAGTAACGGCCAATTACAAAATCTGGAGATTATCCAGGCTCCACTAAAGTGTGGTGGAGCTTAAAACTCTCTTTACCTGCAGCCTGATACACCTGGACCACTGCCCAGCATGACTTTGGGGAATGAGAATTCAGGGTCAATTTTTCACCATGATGTTTGCACAGGAGCATTTAGTACAAGACTTTCAGCAATAAAAATACTTTCTATAGTATTAAAAATGAAACTTTTAAAACTGCTCTATAGAAACTCCTCAGATAATAAGAATTTCTTTAAAAAAAAAGAGGCTAACTAGACTAACCAGGAATTTTAGGCTTTTTTTTTAATACTACAATGCACCAGACCAGAAGATATAATGGTAATATTAATCAAACTTATTTGCCCACTGATTTCTTTCTCTTTTCAGAGAATTCTTATGAACATTGCTCCTAAGGAATACAATCTGAGACAAAATATTTTTCACTTAATCACTTAATCACTTAACTTCCCGTTAGTCGTCGATTTGCTCGAGCGGGCGCCAGTAACGTCTCCATTTGTCCCTGTCGCGTGCTAGTGTAGCCCAATGGCATCTCTTCACTCCGGGAACATGGAGGGCCTCAAACCGATCGTTCATGACGTTGACAAAGAAGTCTGACCATCTGGTAGGTGGGCGGCCACGCGGTCTCTTGACATCCCGTGGAATCCAATCAGTAACAGCTCTAGTCCAACGGTCGTCTTTAAATCTCATTACGTGACCAGCCCATCTGATTTTCGACACCTTGGCAAATGAGACAGCGTCCCTGATCCTTGATCGTCGACGGATGTCAGAACTCCGGATTCGTTCTCTCATTTGAGT